TAATTTTTTTATATAAAAAAACATGAAGAAATATGATTACAAGAAGAATACGAAGATCAAACTAAGAATATTGAAAAAAATCGCCCCGTTAACCTTCTGATCAAACAGAAGTTTCAGAGAAAGTTCATGATTTTTAGTTAAACTATAATTTTATAAAAGGTGATAGATTTCTTTGGTTAGTTTTTTTTATCTTAATTTTTTTTAAATTTGTTATGTTTATTAGTTGATATAATAGTGGTGACTACAACGTGTATACATGCATTCTTGAAGAACTCTTATACACATTTTGATTATAGTAAATTTTATTTTTCAATATTCATATTTTTTTTCATATTTATTTGTAAATATAATTTGTTATTATTCTCATGTTCTTAATAAGGAATTGCATTTTTCTATTTTTATATATAGTGAATTTTAACAATAAAATTTTTTAATTAATTTTTAAAATCTTAAACTTGATCATGCATAAATTAATTATTGTATTATATTGATTTTATTATTATTGTTGTATATTCTTTTTATTTTATGCTAATCAATTCTAATATTCATATTATTCATACTTATTTTATAAGCACTTTTTAAAATTGATTTGATTTTTAGTGTAATATTTAAATAGATCTTTCAAATTTGTAAACTAAGTTTAAATTTGAGTTCTTTTAATTGAAAGAGTATTTGAAAAATACATACAAAAAATTATCATAATTTTTAACATATAAAATTTTTATTTTTATTGTAGTAATTTTATTTTTATTGTATAGATATTTTTTTAATTATCTATTTCGTATTCTTATTTTTTATAATTTTTTTTCTTTTTATTGTGTATGTTATTTTTAAAATTGATTTGATTGGAGTAATATTATATATATAACTATAAATATTATTTATTAAAAATATTAAATTAGAATATAATTTAATATAAAAATAATTCATGCACCGAGTTATAAGCCGGTGTATATATATATAAGGTAAGATTACATCAAATAATTATGAACATTTAAAATTTAAAATTCAAATTAAAATTTTACTATTTATTAATTTTTTCTTTCTAAGATATGATATTAATTACTTACTATTTTTACATTATATTAAAAATTAATTTAAAAGTCAAAATATCATATCAATGTATATATTTATATAATATCAAATAATTATTCAAATTATAATTTTATTATTTAAAATTTAAATTTAACTATCAAACAAATCTTTGAGGTATGAGTGTTAATAATTATGAAACATAATTAAGTTTTAATTGATTATATAACATTTAATTTTTTGATGATACCTATGATAAGGGATTAATAGTAAAATTTATTTTTTTTATTAAGCAATCATTTTTATATAATTACAAAATATAAGGTTGTTTTAATATTATTGATTATCAATATAATTATTTTAATTATAAAAATAATAAAATTATATTCCAAAATTATTACATTTTCACTACACTTAATTAGGGGTATAAATAGACATAAATTATATTACATAAAATAAAGATGTTTTAATCTTTTAAAAATACTTTTACACACATTATCAGTATAGTACTAATATTTTTCAATTATCGTATTCATCTCAAATGTCTCTATTATTTTGGGAGGGAGTGGGTATATGTTTTTTTATTAAAAAATAAGAAAAAATATTTTAATATGAATTTTACTGAATTTTATTTATAACTAATTTAGCATTATGTAATTAATACAAAATACTACTAATTAATTAAAATGAATTGATGGTGATCAATTAGTATAAATAATTATTACTATCATTAAGTATGAATTTAAATATAAATTAAAAATATTAAATTAATTTTAGAATTATTAAAAAATAAAAATATGAGAAAAAAGCTTTGGAATTGCGGGATTCACCGAGCTCAAATTATAATAAACTACATAATGAATATATTAAATTATCTATATAATATATATAATAATAAAAATAATAAATTTTGAATTTTAATAAATATATTTATTACCTATAATTTTATTAATTATATCAATAATACCTATATAATATTAATGGTAACCTATTAATTATATTAATTAATATAATTATTTTTATTACAAAATCAAAAAAATAAGAAAAAAAAATGATCATGTCAGACTACACCGACCTCAATTATATATTATATAGATGATATGTATATGTATAATTAATTGAAATAACTTATATGTATTAAGTGGAAAGGCAAAACAAATAAGAACAAGAGGATAATTTTTACTATATTTCACCTCATTGATAAAGAACAAACATATTGAAAAAAAAAAAAAATTGTTTTTCATATATAAATAAAAGTTTATGTATTCAAAAATATAAATAGTGGAAAATAGATTGTATTTAGATTTGATGGTATAGATCAAAATAATTTTATATTAATTTTTAAAAATGATCTTTTTTGATTTTATCCAAATATATATTACTAATAAAATCTATCCAAAATACTATAAGTGAGAAAATTATTTTTATTAAAAAGATTTAAAAAGTTGAGAAAAAAGATATAAATTATTGGGATCCATAGGATCCTTCTATATACATATATTAATATTTATATATATATAGATTAGGATTGTGACCCAAAATACTCTCCTTCCTATATAGATAGATAATATATATACACGTATAATTAAGATTAGAAAATGTAAGTTTTAATTTTATTAATTAGGAATATAATCACCATTAATTATGGATATAATAAAAATTGACATTTCAAAATTATTAAATATTCATTATCCATAATTAGGGATATAAACAGATTTAATAAAAATCTTCATTCCAAATTTATTAAATTCCATTATCCATTAACTACACGTATAAGTGAAAATTAAGAAAACATAAAATCGATTTTAAACATATCAAAAAAAAAAAAAAAAAAAGGCTACAGAACCATATAGATAGATATATAATAACATATTTTGTATATTTTATATATTTTTATAATTAAAATTTTGTATTTATGTTTGAAATACATTTCTTTGGAAAAAATTGCAAAAAAATATCCTACACGTATATCACATTATCACTTTTGTCCTATATTTATTTCGCTAGCAAAATATATTTTACATATTTGCAAAAGTCGTTATTTATATCCTTTGGATGCGCATGGCCGCGCGTAATTGCACGTAAGGGCGTGTGGTGTGAATGTCACGGACGGACAAAGAACATAAATAGCGACTTTTGTAAACATGTGAGATATATTTTGCTAGAGAGATAAATAGAGGATAAAAGTGATAATAGGGTATAAGTGTGAGATATTTTTTTACAATTTTCTCTATTTCGTTGTTTATTTGTAGTAATTAGAAATTCAATCAAATAACTAAGTAAAAATAATATATATTTTCATATATATATATATTATATAAAATATATAATCAAATAATTATTTTTATTAAAAAATATTAAAATAAAAATATATAATAATATAACCATAATAATTCTATATTTTTCTTACTTTTTAAAAACATTTATTAATTGTGTTAATTATAACTTTATTAGTACAATATTAATATATTATAACTCTATAAGTACGATATATTGATTATGAATATTTATACAATGTTATTATATTAAAAATCAGAAAAAACAAGAGAAATATATTGTAAACTGAATTTTTTTTATGTACCAGAATTTATTAATTCATTTATTTTACAAATATCTTTTTATTATTTCTTTTAGGGATAAGTTTATATAAGATATTTTGTAAAATAAATTACTCCCTCCGTCCATTGAAATGTTGTATTTTTCTATTTTCGTTCGTCTCAAAACAAAGTTATCATTTCCTAATTAATAATTGTATTACATACCTAATATAATAAATATCTTTTCAACTTACACTATATTACACAAATGTCATTACTTAGGGTGTGTTCGTTTGTAAGATTTTGTCAAAATCCTACTATTTATCCAAAAATTTTCCCCCAAAAACATCAAATCAAACACCTATTTTCATTTTTTATATTATACTAAAAATCAATTTACATTCAAAACATCACATCCAACACCTATTTATATCACATCATACAACTATTCAAATTCAAAATTTTTACTATTCAAAATCCCAATCCAAAATCCAAACCCCCAAACAAACACACCCTATATCGTTTTTTTCACCACAATCAATTGTAATACTAATATTTAAAAATCTACTTGTAAAAAGTAAACGCCAAACTTATTTCGGAACGGAATGAGTAATATATTTTACAATAGTAAATTTTATTTATTGCTAATTTAATTAATATAATTTATAATATTATTATAGATACATATATATCTTATGAAATAATGAATATATATATAACAAATAATTAATAGTGTTGTAATTATAGTATATTAATGATGATCGATTAATAAAAACTAAATTATTTAAAATAGAGAAACAAATATAGATTATAATATCTCTCATAATGCGTAATCAAATCTAATTAAGAAAGAATCATCGACTCTAAAATGGAATATGCTATCATCATCATGGTTCGCCGTCGCGGATCGGCGTCGCGGATCGGCCTTTACCGTTCCAGATACGTCGCGGCGTATCGGTCGCGGCGTATCGGTCAAATATCGGCCTATATGATTTTTTTATATAAAATTTATATTTTTTCAAAAAAATAATAAATAATTAATTAAATACATCAAATTATAAAATATAATTAATTTAAAAATATATATTATTGAAAAAATATATTATAATTTATAATAGATCAAAATTTAAAATGAATAATATTTCAACTAAATTAGCGGATATATATATATATATAAATGTAAATGCTAAATTTTATGTTTTGCATATTGTCATTATACTAATAACAAAATGATGTACCTTGTGTCCGTCAATGTCAAGATTTCATCTTTATCATCTGCATTATATAAATAAAAATAATTAGAAAAAAAATACAAATAAAATTTTATAAAATGTTCAAACTACGTTTATACTAAATTTTTATACTTACCATTCAATACCATGTGGAATGTCGTGGAGGTTCAAAATCATTTTCATCTGCTGATCGATTATATTACGAATATCCTTGTTCTGGATTCATATTGCTTGGATAAGGAGAGATGTTCGAACCATATTGATTTTCTCTGAATGAACCCCTTCCATATACATCAAAACCTCGATATTCTCTATTATCATTGCTTCTGCTTGATGAACCATAATTTTGTCTACGATCATCAATACTACCCGAACCAGATGTAATCCCTCCGTAATATGTTCCAACTGGTTGGTTGGATCCAAATATAGGAAGATTGGCTGAATCCTGAAGATGTCTGGGTAGATTAGATAAACCGTATCCTGAGTAATAGGGATTATGATATGCATTTGGTTGGTCCCACTCCTGTCTCCCCAATCTATTACTCGAGCTATGAGAAGAATCTCCATAGGAATAACCTATATTCAAGTCTATGTTCGTGAACTCCAGAATATCTCCTAGTATCTGAAAAATTTGAAGCATCGGCTTCACTTGAAAATTCTGTTAAACTATTTAGAAAATCTCTTTGAGCTTCTATACCAGGACGATATCCATGATCAGTGTCTTGGGTAGCATAATAATTTTCATTTCCTTGAGCCCATCCCATATCACTTGAGTATCGGCTATCCCTGTAGCTCCCACTACCACCACCACCACCACCACCACCACCACCACCATCATCATCATCATCATCATCATCATCATTGTTATTATTCTTATCTTCACCATTAGTCGATGAAGATGAAGATTCCAATATGATTGCTTTTTTTTTCTTGGCCGTATTTTTGTTTTCTGATTTTTTCTCTTTCGCCTTCTTTTTTCCATCAGCTATAAATTGAGATAAAAACATATCACTGTCATGATCATTATGCTCACTTTGACCTCGATCTCCACTTTCTTCAATAGCCTCATCCAACCAATTCAAATCACTATCACGAATAAGTGGAGATTCATTTTCTCTAACCCATTCATCTAAAATATCATTTTCATCAAAAATATGATTCAAATCAATTGGGTCATAAAAATCGTCTGTGTCTGTCCTTTGCATAAAATTTTTTACCCGAAGACGCATGTTGTAGTGGACATAGACTAGCTTATGCAGTTTCTCAATAGCTAATCTATTCCGAAGTTTAGTATGGATCAAAGCCCACGTACTCCAATTCCGCTCACAACCCGATGATGTGCAAGTTTGACTCAAAACTTTTAATGCAATTTTCTTAAATTAGGAGCTTCATCACCGTACATATTCCACCAGTCAGCTATTAAAAATAAATAAAAAATTATTAATAATGCAACATTTTATAACAAGTATATTTAAAAATATAATTAAATGATAAATTTCATAATACATACCTGGTAAAGATGTAGATACAACTCTAATAGCAAGTGCACTTCCAAACTCTCCAATTTTGTTAACAAATATGTTTATCTATAGACAATATAATAGTAAAATTATTAGAAATTAATATATATATATTTATATATTATTTATAAATTTCACATAATTTACCTCATTCATATCCTTTACTTGTATATCCAAATCTGGCTCGAGTCTTTTGATAACTTCTTTTACTCCTTTTCGAACCTCCGATGAATCAAATTCACAAGTGCCGGAGTATTGAAGACCAGGATTTAAAAAATAAGCTGCATGAAATGTATATAAAATTAAAAAATAAAACAAACGATTAGCACAATATAAAAACAAAAAAATAACAAGAATAGTTACCTGCTGCATGCAAATCTTGATGCAATTGATTATACCATCTTTCATCGATGATATCCCAATATTGTTGAAAATCTTTCACCGCGGTTTTTATTGCCATTTTTGCCCTATCCATTGCCTCATAAATGATAGGTAGTGTAGGTTTTTTATCTTGATCAACTACTTTTAAAACCTTCACTAAGGGTTCCATGACCCCACAGACTCGGCGTATCCGTTTCCAAAATCTTTCATTCAAAATCAAGTCTGATATATCTCCGGCTTCATGTCTTCTCCTCGAGGTATTATTGTACTCAACCCATTCTCTAGAAGTACACATTCTTTTCAAATCGGTTGCATATCTCAGAAGACTTTCCATTGCAACAAACTCGGTTGCAAATCTTGTTATGCCTGGTCGCAACAGATCTCGGCCATTCGTATATGTTTTCATCAAATTAACCACTTTATCACTGTTGTATATAAATCCTGTAATTCTTCTGGCTTCTTTTATCGTATCTTTCACTGACAATATATCTCCGATGTCTTCTAACATCAAATCAATGCAATGCGCTGCGCATGGAGACCAAAAAATGTGCTTCCTTTTCCTCATCAGTTTTTTCCCAGCCGCCTTCATACTAGCTTCACTATCAGTTACAATTTGTACAATATTGTCAACCCCTACTGATTCCACCACCTTATCCATTAGGGTGTAGACAAAGTCCGCAGTCTTCGCCTTATTTGTACAATCAACCGAACTGTGATATATCATATCTCTATCACAGTACACCATAAAATTTATGATTGGATGTTTTGTACGAGTACTCCAACCATCACACATAATTGTACATCCGTATGTTTTCCATTTCTGCTTTAAAGAATCAACATACTGTACAACTTCTTGCATCTCCTCGTTTAAATATTCACCACCAATTTGTTTACCAGTAGGTCCTTTAACTCCAGGTCCAACCGATGCAATCGTGTCAATCATCGTTTGGTAGTAAGGACCACTATCGGCAGCGTGAAATGGTATTGCATTAAAATGAAAAAATTTCGAAATTGCTCTACCCACTTTTTTTGCATTATCTTTTGAAAACATATTTTTCAAAGACTTATTCTTCGATTGAAACATGTATGGATCAAGTTTTTTTTGATGCAAACCTTCTGTCTTTTTCATAGAGCTTTCGAAAAAATTTCTTTTACTTCCTTTTGTATTCGAGCTGCTTCCTCCTACAAAGATAAAAAAAAAAAAAAAGCATATGATCATATATGGTTGTTATCTCAAAAAAAATATACTAATATTTAAATATATTTTATAAATTTAATAAATATACCGGCTTTAAAATTCAAGCTTGGTAGATCTCCGGAAACAGAATGTCTACGCTGCTGCTCCATAAATTCCATATTTCTGCTTTCAGCCATTGCTCTTTTTAAGTGTTTTCTTTCAAGAGCATCTATCTCATCTTCATTTATTTCAAAAACTTCATCTTCTTCCTCATCAGAATCATCTTCCAAACGAATGAAATTTTGCAATGCTTCTAACTTTTTTTTATGTGCTGCTCGCATACTTTTTCCTTGGATCAAGTGTTTTTTTAATAACTCTCTTATTTCTTTTGGAGCTCTCGTGCATGCTTCAACTTGACCTGTAACATGTGCTATATGTTGTTTCATCCTAGTAATTCCGCCGTGAACAATTTTACCACAATAATTGCATTTTGCTTGTTTTCTATCATTGCTGATAGGAGTAGCATGATCCCAACCAATATCTCTGTGCGGTGCCATTTTACGCAAACTCTGTAATTGAATAATACAATTGTTAAAATATTTATAAATAGTAATTCATTAATTAAATAGACAAATTATATATTAGTTTATTAATAAATCAAACTTATACAAAAATTTAAGTAGATAACTAATTTGTTTATATAAAAAATATAGTTAAAATATTAATTTTTTACAATAAATTTACAATTAATACAAATTTTATCTAAAATAATATTAATTTTAAATAATAAGATTATAAGTTATTCTAAAATATTAATTTTAATGAACTCAATTTATATAGATTAAATAAAAATTAAATACAATCCAACACAATTAAACTAAATTTATCAATAAATTAAACAAATTATTCTAAATAATTAAATCTAAAATAATTAAACCTATAAATTAAATAAACAAATTAATAAAAAATAATTCAAATTTATAAATATTTAAATTAATTAAAATAATATAATAATTAAATTTACCTTCCTCCTTTCTTCCCCTCCCCCAGAACGCAGAACCCAGAACTCTTTCCCTCCCCCAGAACGCAGAACCCAGAACGCAGAACGCAAAACTTTCCTTCTCCCCCACGATTTCGTTCAGACGCGAACAACTTCCCCTCCCCCACGATTTTCTTCACCGACGCGAACGCAGAATCCTCCCACTTCTTCTTCCCCTCCCCCACAATTCTTCTTCAGACGCGAACGCAGAACAGAGGTCTTTCCTCCACGATTCTTCTTCAGCGCACTGGTAAATGTTTTCTTCTCCGATCTGATCGAATTGAGATGAATTGTTCGAATAATATGAATAAAAAGTAGAAAATCGGTAAGAATAAGATTTATAATGGGTTTTATAGATAAGATATGAATGAATGGGAAAATTTTGGGCAAATATCGGATATTTTTGACGAACCGGAACGGTCCTTCCGGTTCCGGATCGGCCGAGTCCGAACCATGATCATCATTACACATAAATATATATATATATAGATAGATTCATGGTAAGTAATATGCATATATATAATTAATGATTTATAAGGAGAAAATCTCTATCCCATATATGTATGATATTATTTAGTTAACAAAAATAAAATCACATGTAAATATATATATATATATATTGTTAAATAAATAGTATAGGGAGGAGAGTGGATCATATTCATCCATCCCCTCCCTCCCTCATAACAATGAATGAGAAAGGCAAAGGCAAAAGCAATTGCAATGATGATGTGCATGAGCCGAGAAAGCGCTTAAAACACTCTTCATTCTCATCGGCATCGTCCTCATCGATTTGGTCTGCGGCGGTGGACAAAGACAAAGACAAAGACAAAGACAAAGACGACCAAAATAATCAACTGCTGCTAATGCCTACACCAGATGATGATGCTGATCATGATCAGTTAGATTATTGCAAGACTACTGCTACTACTACTCCTCTCGCTATGTCGTCGTTTCGAGGTAGAGTTTTCTCCAATGAAGATGAAATCACTATATTAAATAATCTTCTGGCATTCAGGCGTGAGGGTAGAAAAGATAACTGGAATGAATTCCACTTGCTTGTTAAGGACAAACTGAGTAAACAAGTTAGTAAAAGTCAAATCTATGAAAAAGTTCGAAAGTTGAAGAGAAAATACCTGAATGACAGCTATAGCGATAAAGCTCCAACCAGTGTCCATGACACAAAAATGCTCCAATTATTAAGGCTATTGCATGAGATAGAGGAAGACGGAGAGGGAGAGGGAGAGGAAGAAAGTGAAAAAGAAAGAGAAAGAGAAGCAGAAGCGACTCATGATCAGCAACAGGAGCTGCAGATGCTACAATTGCCTTCCACTTCCACTGCTAGTAGTTGCTGTTATAGTTGGAGATATCTCACCGCTATAGAATTTGAGTTGCATCGTCTCAAACTTCAAAAGATGATTGGGATTTTAGATGATTATCTTAAAACATTTTGACAGATTTATCTTTCTTGTTTAAGTCTCTCTATTTTATCTTTGTAATTTTAATTTTTCACAACTATCTTTGATTTATTATCATTATTATTATTATTATTATTATTGGGAACAAATTTTACTCTCAATTTTGTCTTTAGAGTTTGTCTTTGATTTTTTTCAAAAATATCTCTTATTATTATTATTATACTATGAAATTTTAATATTTTTACATAAAAAATATTCTTTTCAAAAAGTATTATATTAAACTTACCATTTAAATAAAAATAAAAATAAAAATATCAATTAAAGTACTTTTTTTTAAAAAATATATTGAACTATATTTATCTTTTTATCTATATATTATATATTTGCTCAGTGGGTTTCATGTGATCAATTTTTTTTTAAATTATTTTTGAACTTTTTAATAAAAATAATTATATTAATTGATATATTTAATAATTTATCATTAATATTATATATTTATAATTGATATAATTAATGAAATTAAAATTAATAAATATATTTATTAAAATTTGTTATTATTATTATTGTATATGAGTTCCAGTTGCATATCTTTTTTTCTTTTATTTTTTAAAATTTTAATCAAAATAATTATATTATCACTCATAATTATGGGTTTGAGGTATTGTTTGTCCCGGTGCATGGTGGAGGTGCTTATAAAACGTCATTTTTTTCACCTCATTTCAATCACACCTCAAGTTCGTCTCCTCTCTATTGCCTTCTTTCTTTCAGCAATATTTTTATCGACGAGTTTTCGATTAATATACCGGCAACGTTTCTCTCTCCTTTGGCCACCCGATACAGTTTTCTCTCCACAGTTTAATTCATCGAAATTTCAAAAGATCAAGATGTCTCTTAAACCGAAGACGATACGTCATTTTAAAATATAATTTACTTATAATATTTTATTAGGTAAACTGTTTTTTTAGTCCCGTAACTGAACCCCTTATCATTTTAGCCCCATAAATGGAGTCTGTCGCAAACTAGTAGTGAAAAATTTTCGCTGTTTTCACCCAACGTTTTAAGATGAAATAATTTTTGGTGTGTTGTATGAGAAATTGTGTAAAAAGTATAGAATATATTATTTTGTGTGGAATATTTGACTTTTTATAATGAGTATTTAAATGTTTTTTCTACTTTTGTATAAAATATTTTGTCTTTTTTATTATTATTTTTGGAGAATCGCAATTGAAAAATGATGTTGGGAGAACAAACATAAATATATCTTATCTACCGACCTCCCGACTTTCATACATTTTCTGGAGAAGATGGTGCTTCGACCATCAAGCATGTTGGAAGGTTCCAACCCAGTTGGGGGAAGTTGGGAACAACCCTCATTTCAAACTCCAACTTTTTTGGTTGACACTAACAAAAACAACATTCTCATGGTTTGTCAATCTTTCACCTAGAAAAATACAAATTTGAGAAGGTTTGGAGGCTGCATTCCACGCACGCTTCTTTCATCCCATCCCAACAGTATCTCTTACCGACCTTTTCGAAACAAGACAGATGCCCGAACGAACGCCCCTCAATTCATTGAGCGAATTAGGCTCCTGAAAGGGTGTTGTCTGACTACCATCAATGAGGGTGAGATGGCCAATTGAGTGGTCCGAAACATGTATTGGCAATTAAAAGAAGCCCTTATGGCTCACGACATTGAAAACCTAGCGCAATTAGCCTCTAAGGTGAGTCGGTTGGAATATCTTTTCAGAGAAAAAGATCAAAATTTCAGTTTGAAGCCAATAGGACTAATGTTGCTGCACGGAACCTAATTTGAAAGAACGTGCCATCTTGGCCCAAAAAAATAGAGACGTTGATAAAATCAATTATATGATGTTATCTATACTTTCTGGTAGTATTCGACAATATTACAGTGTCAACGCTATATCACCAAACGAAGTTCCAAATATTGAACATCATATAAATCCTCCAGAGTTGTTGAAAGTGAGCGATGACGGCTATGCGGAAATCAAGCGGCGGCTGCATTAAATCCGCCCAACCTCCCTCAACTCCTGCATTTATTCCAGTCACCCTGCATTTATTCCTGCGCTCTCCCAGTTCCCATATTTAATTCCTGCATCATCACTTAGCCAATTTTTGGCTATTTTTTTTAATATTTATTCTAGAACATTCTACAAAATAGATAGTTTTTAGTAAGTTATTAGTAGTTATATTAGTTGCTATTTTTAGAGATACTTATTTATGGTTATTTTTAGAGGTAGTTAGTAGCTATTTTTAGAGGTAGTTAGTAGTTATGTTTAGAAATAGTTATTTATGGACGTTTGTAACCGCGAAACTTCTAAAAGTTTTTCCCCCTATAAATATCTCCTCTAATTACACTCATATACACCATATATATACACAATAATATACATTCCACGCACTCCATTTTTTCCATTTCTTTTCTTCCATATTTTTTCCTAATTTAATAATACGATATTTTCGATTTTGTGTCACGAGCAAACTAATTTTCTCCTCATTTTCTTTTAATTCTTGCATATAATTTTAGCTAGTAAAATTCCTATCATATTTCTCCACCCCACCTTCACTAAAAAATTCCATGTTCGATTTGAATTGTTCAAGTTGGATTTCGACAAGGTTGCGGATTGGCGATAGAAGAATCGACTATTTCAGCCCTGTTTCGTGTCACAAACAAATCCCGGGTAGTTCAACGTAGCTAAGTACGCGAGAGCCTTGTCAACCTGCTTAGTTGTTGTTCTGAATTCGATTCCGATTAAAGAGAGGTATTAAAGGGGTAGAGCCACTAGCGGAACGATTGGAAGAATAATTCATGGGGTATAGGCGGTGGTCTATTCGGTCACAGAAATTTCTAGTGACAGTAGAATTTCTTGCTTATAATGTTCGCCGGCTGTCGTTGAAGCCTCGTTATATCTCAAAACAACACCCCTCATCTTCAAATAAATCTAATAATAAGGCTAAATTACACAAAATTCACATGTGGTTTCACGAAATTGCGTCAAATCACCCATATTTCTAAAACTGCGTCAAACTCCCTCATAGTTTCGTAAACTCTGCGTCTAATCCCTCGACGGTCCTTATTTAACGGTATTTAATCTAAATGAGCTCGCAAATAAATTTTAGAATATCAATTTCTAAACCCCTAAAATTACAAATATATTTATTTTTCTTATATTTAGCCTCAAAAAACAGTAAAAAAAACTCTTTAAAATATGGCAAAAAAAACTATGTTTGACGCATTTAGGTCAAATACCAATATACCATTAAATAAAAACCCCCGAGGGGATAGACGCAGAGTTTAAGAAGTTTGGCGCAATTTTAAAAATATAAAGCAAATTTCATGTATGTATGTTTTGTGTAATTTAGCCCAAATAATAATAATAAAATAGCTAACAAGTTAGAGATCTTCAGCACCCAAAGCATTGTTATCAATACGATCATTTCATTTGACACTTAATTCATACAATTGTATGTATCAATAACGTAACACCGTTGTTTTATTTCAAATGAATAATAATTGATGTCTTTTCCTTTTATATCAAGAAAAATTACAAATATAATATAATTTTTTACTATAAAATGAATGAACTCATGACACGACCCACGGACTTGAAATTATTTTCTTAAAATCCCTCCTACCACTTCTGAGGGTGAGCAAGCAGGCTTCAACTTAATAAGTGAAATTTCGATATGTTTATGTAGGGATGTTTTAAATTTTATTTATTTAAATTATGATTTAGTATAATAATCATATATATAAAGCTTATTTTTATAAAGATATGAGGAAGAATAGAAAAGTTTACAAATATTGTGAAAGGAACAAAACCGCATGTATTTTTCTACTAAATTTTATTGTTTTTCAATCTTTCTTTCATTTATTTACTTTTTTTGCAAAATATTACATTTAATAAATAAGCCATATCACTGCAATTATCTCCATTCCATATTATTATTCATTAATGATATACTACAATTTTCAGTATGAATCACCGACAATTTTGAATTGCTTTTCCAAGAGTGAAGTGAAGTGAAGGAAGCCATTAAACAACAATTGAGTGATGCTAGAAAATGACGTCCAAATTGTAGTCAAAAGCATTTAGTAATCAAGCAGACGAGATGAATGAAATAATCTTTTTTTTTCCTAAATAACAGTGTACTTGTATAATCCAAAGTTGATTAAATAACATACTCCTCTTCCAAAATTGCCTATAATTAGACACTACAAATCAAAATGGTTGTAACTAATAATAATATTCAGTTGTATGCCTCCTCCCTCAAAATACACTCCAGAAACCAACGACCAAAGCACATCACTCGAAATAAGCCTGCTTCGCATGAACTGGTTAAATATAAATAGGTCGATAGATAGGTGGTGTGGTGTGGTGTGGTGTCATGGAAACAAACCAGGCAGCCACCTGGGCTAGCTGTTGAATCTGATGCTGCGGCTTATTCTTGTGTTGATGCCCGTTGTTTCTCCCCCGTAAGGACCTGCGGGCTTCCGTACCTCGCGAACCTGTCCTTTCCTGCGCACTTCTGCTTTCTTGTGCTTCAACTGAGTGTGTGTGTGTGTGTGTGTGAGAGAGAGAGAGAGAGAGAGAGAGAGAGAGAGAGAGAGTTCAGTTCATGTTATATAGGAATTTGGCAGCAATGAGGTTCTGAACCATATCCTAGATACATGCATACATACATACGTACATACATGCACACAAATGCATCTATAGAGGGGCAGGGAGATGGTACCTTGTATTTCTTCCTAGGATTCTTGGTCAGCTTCTTGCGGGCGCGAGTTAAGCCCCTATTCTTCTCAATCTGGACAAATTTACAACCAAAGGCAAGGATAAGTAGATCGCACAGGTAATATATATATACATACATATATATATATATATCCTCTTCCAAACATGACCATACCTGATGTGTGATCAGCCGCTTCCCATCAACTGTTTCTGGCAATGATGGAACTTCCGGAGTTCTGTTCAAATTAACAAACATATGGGTGAGTGCATGATTATACTTCAAATAGAAAGGACTACTAAGGGCAAGTAAAAAATAGTTGATGCAAAAAATAATTATAAGTGAACAGCCTTCATACACACTACACAACATGAATGTGCGGTCAGTGTTTAGCAAGCCAAGTGTCTAACATTCCATTTGTATATACCTCGAATACTTGTTAGATTTTGCAGTGAGCTTTGCGGCATGCTGTTGCTCCACTTGTTTGTAGAATTCCAGATCAGAATCATCATCATCCTCATTTCCATCATTGACGTCACCAGCCCCATCGCTGGAGAGGTCAGCACTCTCATCATTTCCCTCATCCCCAGCAGATCCAATCCCAGCTCTTGCCAAAACTCGCAGCTCATGCTTTCTCCGCCTTTCTCCAATATCATCTCGTTTCGGTATATCATCATCACCCGATATAACCTTCACATATTATGTAAGACAGCAAATATTATATAAGACAGCTGGTAAGATTCACTTCCTAAAACTAGATGACCCAAAAACTTTAAGCGTGCAAACAATTACTTAAACAGAAGGGAATCAGAGATACTGGGAAGGTGTATCATTACATGAAATTTGCTGTTAGTTTCATAAGTTCAACATCATCCATATTCTGTTGTTCGGCTTTTATTTGCTAAAATGACCACAATCATCCAATATTTTTAATACACCGACAGGCGTAGCATATATCAAGTTGAGATGAAAAGCATATCACAAACAGAAAATAAATTGAATATGGCCTTACCATATATGATTATTGAGTTGCTTTGAAGATCAAATTAAACAAAACCATATCTTACAAAGTAAAGTTCTTTTGAAGCACAATACCTTGCGTTTCTTTGTTTGAAGAGCCCGTTGCTGGGAAATTTTGCTTGAATGTGACGATTTTGTATCTATTTCCATGGGCTCATCAACAAAATCATCGAATGTCTCAAGTTGTCTGGGAATGCAATTTAGATTTAAGAGAAGCATTTGATGATGACAAGTACACAAAATATCTGAGAATATGACAATTGTATAAGTAATAGACACCTGTTTGCAATTTGTTGGTCTCTAGATTTAGCAGTCTTTCTTGCAATGGAACTAAAAACACCCTTCTGCCGCAGTTTCTCCTCTAGGGATTCTCTTATTTTTAACATTTCCTTGCTCTGTGATCCTATTTGTTTATGCTGCCATAAAATAATGTAACCAATCAAAGTAAGTCTTTAAACATGACACTTCTGGAGGAAAGGAAACAACAGGAACAGGGGCACACATAGGGGGGAAAAGGTGGGAATTCAATACGTACTTCATTCTTGTACTTCAATTCGATACTTGAATCTTTTATCATATTCAGCTCAGCCGCTTTGGAGGACTAATGAATATGCATACAATATTTTAAGATGAGGTTATACCAACACAAAAAACAAAAGCAATGTGCTAGTACCTCAAGTGCAGGCTGTTTTTCAGAAGAGGCTGTGAAGAATAAATGATCATTGGTCAAGGACATGGGCCCAATTCTAGCAGTCTCTTCAACTAAGTTACTATCAGTAACATTATCCACATCCTGTTTCAAAATATCTTCCAGGTGGATAGGAAGATTCTTGTCCATTTCTTTCACCTACACCACAAAAGAACAGGAAACAATTGTCAAAGATTTTTTATGGAATCTTACTGTCAATGGCAAAAGATCAGATCTTCAAGAATGAATGTTGTCAATGAAAAGACTGATATAGAAAGACCTAAGCTGTCCAGTTTCAACTTTTCCACATCCCAGACATTAACTGCTATTTCCAGCAAACCCTGGCAACTAACAAGTCATTGGCAATTGAAATTCATGGTATCTAACTACAAGCAAACAACAAATCCCATGATGAAACAATAAGTTGCATATCCTACTAATGTCTAAAATAACATTTTGGGAAAATCTTCATCATGAGGGCATATAAGTCTGAGTAAAAGAATCATAGAAGAAGAATAAAAAGACAGTGAGAAGACAAAAGGTTTGATTGCTATGTTCTGTAATATTGCAGTTGTAAAACAGCACAACACAATGAAATTAAAACAATAACCTTATCCAGTAGGCTCTTTATCTCCACTAGCCGTGAAACAACTGGATGATCACGTACTGGCTGCCCTTCAGACTTAAGAAGAAGATAGAAGGTTATGGCCTGGCACAAGGATTCCAACAGAAGTTGCTTTACCTCCATATAGTGCATCCCTCCCTTCGCATCTTTTTTTTCCCTAACCTTTAAAGAAAGTGATAGCTATTATTAGAATGTATTCCACAAGGATGGTTAACAAAACAAGATTCAATGAACTAATAAGCATATAATTTTCTCAATCCATAAGTCAAATGGATACGGAACATTGAGGTTATAACTAACATAGTGCTAATTCTTAATCACAGTCAATTGGGGTAACTGAGGTTTCAGCAAATATTGTTTAACTGGCAATGTAAATGAAAGTTAATGCAACACTTTCACTTTATAAAAGAGATGGCAACCCAACCCAACCAAACATACACCTATGCAGCAATTGGATTTTTGTTTTCTGTTTGCAAAATAAGATATCCAAATACTTGAGCTTGTTTCAAATGTCTGTGAGGTCACAATATCTGTCAGATAAAAGTACCCCTGAAGAAATTGCTTCTTATATACAATTCAACTTCAAGACACAACAAAAAGTAAAAAAGATCAACTATGACAGCTATTAGTACTTTACCCAGAGGTGGGGAACTACACAACAAAATTCTAACTTAGCTGCATGGTGAGTTGGTGACAAACATTTAATATTGCTGACTTGTTTATTCAATTAAAAATCTTGAAAAAATATGCCCAATAAGGAATCATCACCCTTTCTAATCGATAAAGTAGAAAGGGCCAATAATATCAATCGCACTGTGCAACAACGAACTTGAAGAAAGGCAGATACATCAATTTTAGAAACAGACAGATAATGATCAAATAAACTTAGAAAACAAAACACAATATTAATAATTCTCAATTCTCTTGAGGTAGATGTTATTAATGAAATAGTTGTTTCTTAATCTGTTACATTACAAAAGCAAGAAGCAAAGAACAGCATTATATAAACTTATGGAAAACTACCTTATCCACAAATGGGTTAACCTTGTTTTCAAGTTGCTCAAGTGCATCACTCAGCTCCCACAAAAGGCCAATTAATTCCGGAGCAGAACTGTACAAAAAACCACGATACAACTGTTGAGAAGCAGCAAAGAAAATTGATGGAGGCAGGGAGATGTATAAATCAAAAGAAATATAATAATCATCGCAAACTAAAACAAGCTGCCATCACACATGCAGCCACACGCCAATTATCAGATACTAACCACATTTATGCCATTTTCAGTTGAATATAACAAACAATAAAAAGTAAAAGGTAGTAAATATCAAGTTAGACAGAAAAGAAGTGTTAACTCAGCAAAATAATACCTGCACAGAAAATTTTCAAACAACGGTGTCTCAATGTTCATACCTGTTCATAATTGAGTGTAAAATTATTTGTGCAACCTAATTATACCTGTCCAAATCCAGTGCATATATAGAACCCGTACATTTCTGAGAAATACAAGTTTGGGTTTGGAAATGTCTTCTTACTCAACATATTTGTCAGAAGTTCATATGAATCCACATCATTATTTACCTTATAAAAATCACATCTCTTTTCACAATTCTTAGCAAAAAAACAAGTAAGCAAAATGATAATATCTCACACAAAAGCTCATCGAAATATACAGTTTCAAATAGCAACTTAAGTCAGATATATGGGTGCTAATGTTCCCCCTGTTGCATGGCATGGCACAACACTGACTCTGCATCAAATACAGTAAATGCATACTAGCTAGTGGTATAATTTTCATTATTATCCTAAAGATATTTATCTAATATAGGAAAAAAGAATGGAAAATGAATTTCTTATGAAGGCAAGAAAAAAATAGGAAGGGAAGAAAAAATAGATACTTGCCTAGAAATGAAAACAAGAATGGGGAATCTCAAGGAAACCTTAGGAAGAAAACAAATAAACTTTACAAAGATTAGAAAAAAAAAAAAAAAAAAAAGATGGTTCACAGTCAAGATTTCTATACTTTGCTACACTATTAGAAAAAAATGATGATTATTAAATGAAAAATTATCAGTATCAAAAAAATAAAATAAAATAAAAGGTGGGCAGTGTCATGATGTGTGCTTGGATCAAGGAGTATGCCAAAAGTGCACTAAAAAATGTCCAGCATTGCAGCACATGCCTCACACAAATATAAGTTAGATCTCTCTTAATTCACATAAATGATGCAACAAACAATGAAATGAATATCAAGATAATAAAAGGGAAACTGACCTGTAAACCACATCCATTTGCTCTTCTTTGGTTAAAGCATTTAAATCTTTCTCAACCCTCTCATATGCCATTGCATCTTCGTCTTTATTTCCCTTTTCAAATGATACTTTTGATGTGAGCTTTCCACGATCCAAAAGTTCCTGTATTATGCCATAAGAAATGTTAAGAAGAGCAATCAGAGACATGTCTTTTCAAATTCCAAGAATCTCCATTATGAAAGCACTATTTTTGATAAGATGAGTCACTTTATAGAATATATATTTAACCTCAATTGTGGGTTCCTGATCAGCCTCGTCTTGACTGTTATCGTCAAGACCAAAGTCTTCCATGGATAAAACTTTTGCTTTTTCACTTTGCAATTTCAACACCTCTGCCTCCTCCTCAGCTGCGTCCTCGTCATCGCTAGCTTGTGGCTTACATCAGAATAAATAATATATTTTAAAGCAAGTCCCATAATAAATTTGAAATCCAAACAAAGAAAAATCAAAATGCATTTGAAGCCTTGGCTAAGTGGTTAGATAAGTTTGTTAAGGGCAACATCAGTACCATAATTATATAGTAAATCCAATAGAACGGTATTGCCATTATGTTCAGTTCTCCAACAATTTATATATATATATATATATAATCAGAATTAACTGCGCAAAAGTATGAAAATGCTTGAGAAAAGTTCTGCCATATATATATATATAAGAAGGTACAAAAATAGCAAGATGACGCAATAACTGATACTGAAAATGAATGAGCAATTTTACAGAGTAATCTATTTGGTCTCCATGCAACAAAAAGCTAGGTATTAAAATCATAAGCTATTTTGTTCTTGACCAAAGCTACAAGCCTAGCTTCAGGTACCCATGGTTTGATGATTATGCAAAATAAACCTTGGTCTAATGGTAATTGAATAGTTTCTGTGAGCTCAATTCTTAACAGTATTTCCTTTACCTCATACGAGTAACTCATGGCCTTCAATAATTGGTAGGGTGTTGCAAATATTGAAGCATTGAACACCTTCCAAATTCACTTTAAGTGCATATAGGAAATGACAGTACTATTTCATCAAATAAATATACTCCACCGAGATTAAAGTATATGCAATTTAGGCCGTGCCTTATACAAAAAAGCCACTTGGCCTTGAAAATGCATTATTCTCCAAAACCTTACCTCATAATCGACATCAGCACCATACATATCTTTTTTTCTGCCCCAAACAACCCTTTCTTGCTCCTCTTCTTCAGCATCGTCAAGCATTTCATCCTCGGGCCCACCAAATTTGGCTTGCAGATACTTTTGTGTCCTTGTAACTACATCAAACATAGTTCAGTTGGATGAGAAACCAAGAAAGTGCTCTGTAAGTCTAAGGATATTCCTGCTACAAGGCCTTTAATAAGCAGAATCACATATGAAAATACATTACATTAAATGATAAGCATCCCCACCCAACTGTTAAAGATTCATTTAACACCTATTATCATCATGAAAATGAACTAAAACTTATAAACTTAACACCTCTACATTGTTGTAGCCCCATATAGTGCACCTGTTATGCATTGCAGTCCAAGTTAATATAAAGATAAGGAGCAATATCATTTTACTATCCAATCCAAACTAGAAAATTCAATCCGCTCACTTTTCAGCCATAAATCTATCTTCCTCCTACAAGAACATGATAACAAGAAAACTGGAATGGCAGAGAAATGAAACTTGATAAAGCAATATACAATGTTAAATTAACATTTCCTAAACTCTTAACAACAATAGAAAGTATCATAGAATATTCAAAAAGTAACATAGGTTTCTCATACTTTTGGCAGCCAAGCCCTTTGGTGGCTCATCATCGTCAATGCCCTCATCTTCATCATCCACATCGTCATCTTCATCTTTATCATCCTAGGCAACAGGAAACCCAAGAATGGAAAGAAACAAAACATCAACTAGTTTTTCATCAGATAAAAATGATAAGAAGAATAAAACTAATCCATGTTTGTGCATAACAAGGGTTCCCACTTAAAAATGAATTTTAAGATTAAATAGGAATTTCTCTTTATTTGGCATTTTCTTCTCTAATATAGTTCCCAAAACAAATACACTGAGGGAAAAAAAAAAAAACCTCAGCTTTCACAGATAATTAAACTATAAGGTACAACAACTCAAATGAATGAATTGCTGCCTTCAAATGATTTAGAGAAATAATCTATGTCTACACTCAACAGAGAAAATGGGGCAAAGAATATAGAAGGTAATACAACCTCGAAGTCAAGCACAGGCTGTTCATTATCATCATCAGAGTCTTCCATGCCTTCATTCATGTTCAGGGGAACAACATCTCTATTCTTGTGAACTACAAGGAAATTGACTCAGAATTGGACATGATAATGGATTAGAAATGGACAGGGAATGCAGAAAACGAGATTAGAACTTTATAATTTCATAAAGGATGTATACTTCAAAGTAAATATACACATACAGGCATCAATTTCGTCATTCATCATGTCACCATCTGCGCGAAATTGGGTAGACTTGTTCTTCACAAGACTATTATTTCCTTCCATCTTCTTGTACTTTCCTCCCTTTCTCCCCATGATTATTTGTCTCAAAAGCTACTAAAACCTAAATCAAAAAATTCTCTTTGAGTATAGAAACAACTTTAAATGGCCACATGCAAAAACATAAATCATATATCACAGTATAAGCAATTTAAATTCTCAAAACATCTTATTTCTCACCAATGATGAAAGATAAAACACTCGCAACACATTTTTTAGTATATAGTAGTACTATATAGTTTTGATCAGTATAAAAAAAAAAAAAGAAGAAAATTATATTAATACTGTTGTGAATTTCGGCGCAAGGAGATCGGAGGTCGGCTGGAGCACCCGGTTCACTCCCTCTTTTCTCTTCTCTTCTCTTTTCTTCTCACACTTTCTGCTATCGTCCAATCGGTTCTGCTCAACCTCAAATTGTTATATATAATATGTCAATAATTTACCTGAAATATTTGAAACCATTCATCTCTTTTTGTATGTGGAACCTCAGAATAAAATATCCAAGAGCCATTGAAATTGGAAGTAACTATGTTGCGTATTCTCCCCACCATATTCTTGATTTTACTAAAATACAATAAAATATAACATCATATATACCATATGATGTAATATCTTCATTGTAGTAATTAAAAAATAAAACCTAATAGCACATGTTAAATCCCCTAGAGCATCAATAAAGTATTATCCTTGTAAAATGGTTTGCACTAAGATTTTTTATTTTTTATTTTCTGCACAAAATTAAGTTATCCAAATTTCTAAAATATATGGTTGAACAACAAAAACATTATATTTAAGATAAAACTATTATTATGAATATACACCAATTCACATTTCTGAATAGCTAATACAAAAAATCAATATGCATTAATTCAATAAGTCATAAAAAACATATTGAAACACAAATTTAAATTTACATGTAGTAGCTCCTAAATCCAATCATCTACCAAGACTGTAGAGACTTCATCCCTGTCTCAAAGCTGCATGAAAGTCTAAAAATCTGAAGCTGATCAAGCCATGTCTAACAAGAGATCAAAGCCATCTTCTTTTCTTTTCTTAATAAACCGACAGCCTCACACAATTGGATACCCAACACCAAAATACTCCATAATTTCAATATTCTTAGTCTAAGTAAAACAAAGTGGTAAGGGGCTAAAGAAAATAAGAAAAAAATGACAAATTGAACATAATAGCGTAATAAAAATCCATCCGAATATTAAAATGACAATTATCCAATTGTAATTTCACTCATCCTCTTACTATAACAACCAAGAGTAATTAAACCAACTAATAGCATAGTTATTCAAAAAAAGGATACAATATTTGAAAACATGTATATATATTCCTATTGTATGAATTCACGAACTAACAAACTTATTTACACTTCTAATAATAATCCAACCAGGAAATTTTGCAGAAAATAATACTGCACCAAAATAGCTCCAGACATATTTTTTGATATCAATCATCTCTAATCAAATCTATTCTAAGAACCACACTTACTCAAAATTCAGAGGATGAATCCTTTCACGTTCATCATTGATGTTCGGCAATACATCATCTTCACGGGGATTTTCAGTTGCATCCTGCATAAGCACACCATTAGCATTGGGAAACAGAGGTGGAAGAGTATCCATAGCTTTTCTGATTCTAAGTTCACACGAATGAGATCACTATTTTACGAATGACTAGTTTTAAGGTTGAAATTTTACACAATGTCGAAGTGAGTAAGTGAGTGGCAAACGTGGGTTGGAAAAAACTGCGCAATTCGATGTGTTTTTTAGATTGGCGGGAGTAAAATCGCTTGAAAAAAAATAAAAACCTTAAATATTTGATCGATTTTCACTCTCGCCGCGAATATGTATCGCCCGTCATAGGTTCAAAGGCGATTCAACGTTTCTCTGAAAAATTTTAAAAATATAAATAAAAAATTACAAAAATAACGCAAACCTGACCAAGGATTCACACCCACGAACTTCGACGACGTTCCAATCGATTTTCTTTGGCAAGAATTTAGAAGGAAAATGACGAATCACCTGGGAAGAGCAAAACCACGAAGAAATAACAAGATAAGAAAGGCGGCGGCTGCTAGGTATGTTTTTAGGGTTATAATTTTCTATTGTATAATAATAAAACTAATAATAATAATAATAAAATTTATAATTATTATAAAAACTAATTTATATTATTAATATACTTGAATAAATTCCATAAAGTGCTCGTAAATTAAAAATTCAAATTGATCATTTAAAAAAAATAATAAATTAAGACAACCGTAAATTAAAAAAAAAATTAAAAGCATTTTTTCTCATTAATGTATAATTTAAAAATACTATTTATGGACTTTTCTTGTGGGATTGAGATTTCACAGCAGGATTTATATGTCATAGGATTTATTATATTTAAGATTTGGAATCCTTATCATATATTTGATTGGTAAAATTATGTGGAATTTATATTTCTCATTGCTTTTTATATGAGTAGAAGGATTTGGATTTTTTATATTTTAAATGACATAATTGTTCCCTTATGAATTTTATTTATTTTGATAAATTAAACATCTAATTTATAATAAATATAAATTGAAAATGTATTAATAATTTTATAGGGATTACAATAGGTTATCGTAAACTCGAAACATGACTCGAACCCGACCTATTTATTTGAAGTTGAGTCTAATTATTTGAGTATTAGATCTTGATCCGGGTCATATTATGGGTATTCTAATCGGGTCGGAATCGGGTTTAGGGTCTAAGCGGACCATACCCGCACCCAGATTCGATTTATAATATTAATAATATATCGACTATACATATAAAAAAATAATTTCTAACAATATAATTATATTAATTTTTTAAGTTTAATTTATTTATTATTTTATTATAATATTTTTTTTCATAAAATACATATATAATATATATTGGGTCGGTACATGTGTAATTTTAAATTAAAATTTAAGAATCGTAAAAAGAATTAGATTTGTTAGGATTTCTAAGGATTTTAAGGGGCTATTTGTTTCGAGGATTTGATAGGATTTCGTGAGATTTGGATTTTAAAATCCCATGAAATCCATGTTTGGTTAAAAAAATAATGGAATTTAAAATGATGGGATCTAAAAACGAGAGATTTATTAGTAGCGGGGTACCCCCTATTACTTTTAAATCCTATTCCATAGATTTTAAATTTTACTTTTATATCCTTATATAAAAAAATATATATTATATATTATAAATATATTTATATAAAATTAAATGATTTTAAAATTAATTTTTATTTCAATTATATATTAAATTAAATTAATACTATTATAAATTTTATTTAAATTATAAAATTATCAGAATGACAATAAGTCGGATTCAGCCGGAACTGAGATCCGTCCCGAATATATATTGTTAGACTTTAGATCCAAATTGGATCTGATTATACCAGATCCGGCTAAAACTATACCCGGTAAAATCCGATGGATCTAACAAATCCAATTCTTTTTACGATTCTTAAATTTTAATTTAAAATTACACATATATCGACCCAATATATATTATTTATGTATTTTATGAAAAAAATATTATAATAAAATAATAAATAAATTAAACTTAAAAAAAATTAATATAATTATATTGTTAGAAATTATTTTTTCATATGTATAGTCGATATATTATTAATATTATAAATCGAATCTGGGTGCGGGTATAGTCCGCTTATACCCTAGACCCGATTCGGATCCGATTATAATACCCATAATATGACTCGGATCAAGATCTAATACTCAAATAATTGGACTCAACTTCAAATAAATAGGTCGGGTTCGAGTCGGGTTTCGAGTTTACAATAACCTATTGTAATCCCTATAAAATTATTAATACATTTTCAATTTATATTTATTATAAATTAGATGTTTGATTTATCAAAATAAATAAAATTCATAGGGGGACAATTATGTCATTTAGAATATAAAAAATCCAAATCCTTCTACTCATATAAAAAACAAACAAGACGTGAGAAATATAAATACCACATAATTTTACCAACCAAACATATGATAAGATTTCAAATCCTAAATATAATAAATCCTATCACGTATAAATCCCTGCTGTGAAATCTCAATCCCACAAAAAAAAAGTCCATAAACCAAACAGCCCCTTAGAATGTATCTATATAATCTTTTTAATCACTATTTATATTTATGTAATTGTTGAACGGTTTTATCTATATTATTAAAATTATTAAATATACAAAATAATTTTACAAATGTGTCTTTTCCAAAAAAAAAAAAAACAATATTATCATCATTTTCTATTTGATCATCAATGTCATCACTCTGTATATCTATAAATAATAAAATAATAAAATAAAAAATGAAAAAAAAAAACCTTAATGAAAGAAGAGATAGGATCATACATACATAAGAATAAGTATCTGCTCTCCTCAATTCTACATCATCCTATTATTGGCTATGAATTTTCTTCCATGAGACATAAGGAAATCGAAATCACCAAGCCTAAGCAGAACCTTTACTAAATTACAAATGGCGGATTGTTTCTGCCTACATCCAACCGCAAAAATCCTACCAAAAACCTCCAATGCACAATAAGTCATCTCTGTATTTGTAAACAAAATGAAATATAAATATTATAGATAAGATTGTTTTATATATTAACATAAATTATAATAAATAATATTTATATACAACTATTTTTACCTCTATCATCTTGGTTATTCACTTCAATATTGCTAAAAGCATTTATATAAATTTAGAATCTTATCTTATCATGGCGTGACCCCACCATTCTCAATTCCTCCCCCACAATTTTTAAGATTTTTTAATTTAAATATTTTATATTATTTGTTAAATTGATAGTTTTTCAATCTATTTTTAGGTGAGCGAACCTGGAGAATATCAAGCCGAAGAAGGGGGGAATAAAAGAAACTAGAAGAAAAAAAAAAAGGTTGAGAAACTAGAACCTTCCGTTTGAAGCGGTCGTAATTGATTCTACTTTCAAACCTTTCGTTTGTGATGATCATAATTTATTCTAATTTCAAATATTCCGTTTGAAACGATTGTAATTTTTTCTATTTTCAAACATTTCGTTTGAGATTATAATTAATCCATCCAACGGATTATGTTTTATCCAAATAATACTGCGACTTAGGTCATATACCTGGGTTTAATTTGGGGTTGTACAATTTGGTTTGTCTCGAGACAGGAAAAATAGTCAAAATATTAACCAAACCCCATATACAATAAATAATATTTATCTTCCAAATTAATCTAATTAATTTGGTACACCGGCCCTTTGCATTTTCACTTACCAAATAATCGGTTGCAAAATAACCGATTATCCAACAATCTCCCACATGAGTGAAAATGCCCATAAAGAACAAAAGCTCAACTCAATCCCTTGAGATATTGACACATCAGGACAGGTAGCTTTTGGCTTTGAATCTTTCATAGTCAACATTACAGAGTGTACTGGTGGCCCAGTTGACGTGATGTATTGAAATATTCCACCTCTGCGTGCACTTAGTCAATAATATTGACGCGTCGCCATCTCAGTCTCATCTTTGTTCTCACATTTTGATCTATTTCGACCGTGGATCTCGTCTTTGAATTCATAAGTATTTCGATTGAAGTGGCTCACACTTCACACTTATATAGGTAATCCTATCTCAAGGTATCTAACTCACATCTTTAGGATCATTAAGAGTTATTGACGTAACCTCACCACTTTTGCACATTTTAACACTCATTATTTTTCAAGGAATTATAATTGAGTGTTTGTTCTGGACTCTCACAGCTTAGTTTTTCTATTGAACCAAGGCTTTGGATTTCCAAGTGATTTGGTTGGGTTACCAATGTAATTGTTTCTATCTTGTGAATTTCAAATTTATTCCCTTTAGTAGTTTGTACATTTGATCTCTCTGCAACCCTTTGGTTAGCGGATCCGCTAGGTTTTCTATTGACTTTACATATTCAATAGTCAAGACCCCACTGGGGATCAAATGCCTTACAATGTTATGTCTACGTCGGATATGTCGGGATTTACTATTGCAAATTCCATTCTTAGCCCTTGCTATTGCAGATTGGCTATTGTAGTGAATCATTAAAAGAGGTAGCGGTTTAGTCCAATATGGAATATCATCTACGAAGTTCCTCAGCCATTCGGTTTCTTCGCCAGCTTTGTCCAAGGCGATAAACTCTGATTCCATTGTGGACCGTGCAATGCACGTCTGTTTTGTGGATTTTCACAAAACAGATCCTCATCTGATCGTAAATACATATCCACTTGTAGACCGTGAGTCTTTTGCATCAGATATCCAATTGGCATCGCAATACCCTTCGAGTACCGGTGGATATATTCGCGTAGTGTATGCCAAAATTCAGAGTAAATTTAAGAGAACTTAATACTCTTAATAGCGTTTTTCAGTATTCATGACTGGGGTCGCTAGTGTATCGACTCAGCTTGTTTACAGGGCAAGCCAGGTCGGGCCTTGTACAATTTGTTAAGTACACTGTACGCTGAGGTCCATTGGGCTTTTCACTGGAGTGTTGTCGTAGGCATTGAATTTTCTCAATATTTTTTCCACATAGTGGGACTGATTCAGAAGAACACCTTCGTCTTGTCTTAGAATCTTCATTCCAAGGATGACGTCGGCTAGCCCCAAATCTTTCATGTCGAATTACGACTCAATATGCATTTGACCTCATTGATCAGGCTGACCTCTTTAGCCATGATCAGTAGGTCGTCTACATATAGACATATTATGATAAAACCGGAAGGTATTTCTTTGATGTGGACACACTTGTCACACTCGTTTATTTTAAAACCATTTGATAATATAACATTATCAAATCTCAAGTACCATTGTAAAGGTGCTTGGTTCAGCCCGTACAAAGAGTTTATCAGTTTGCACACCTTGTTCTCTTGGCCAGGAATGACATATGCTTCTGTTTGTTCCATATATACCTCTTCTTCTAATTCACCATTTAGAAAAAGCCGTCTTCACATCCATTTAGTGAATCTCAAGATTGTTCAAAGACGCAATCGAAATAAGCACTCGAATGGATGTTATCATGGTTACTGGTGAATATG